ATGGTTGGTAGGGGAAACCATTCTAATCCTTCTTCAAGCATGGATGAGCGGCATATTGCTCAAGTTTTGGAACTGATTGCTGCTGCTATTGGACAACAAAATACTTTGTTGGCTCAGATGGAGACCAATTGGGCTACAGCTGAAGCAGCTAGGGTTGAGGTACCAGATGAGTATAGGGACTTGTCAGAGTTCAGAAAAGGGAATCCTCCTAAATTTATAGGTGTTGATGGACCTAAAGTTGCTGACTAGTGGATTGAGGAGATGGAGAAAATCTTCATGGTGATGCATTGTCCAGAGGAGAGAAAGCTAGTTTATGTTGTTTATATGCTGATGGGTGAGGCTAGTTTCTACTGGAAAGGTGCTCAAGCTATGATGGAGGCTAGAGGGGAAACGGTAAATTGGGAGAACTTAAAAAAGGTGTTTTTAGAGAAATATTTTCCAGATAGCGCCAGATATTCTAAGGAAGCTGAATTTTTGAGACTACAACAAGAGAATATGTCAGTACGAGAGTATGTGGTCAAGTTTGAACTCTTGGCTAGGTACTATTCTTAAGCTATCACTGAAGCTTGGAGAATAAGGAAATTCAGTGAGGGTTTAAGGTATGAGCTGAAGAAGACTATTGTTCCTATGGGGATTGTGGAGTTCCCAGTTCTAGTTGAAAAGGAAAAAACAGTTGAGAGGTTTGAAGGAAGAAATAGAGCGGCAAAGGGTCCAGAGGGATCATCTGGATTTGTAACAGGGAAACATCCCCAAAAGAGACCATCTCAGTTTCAAAAGGGGAATACTAATAAGAAACCAATGGGGACTACTACTACAGGAGTTGTTCAGAGTTTCAGATGTTATAGATGTGGATATAAAGGATTATGTGTGTTTTAAATGTGGCAAGGTGGGTCACATTGCTAAGGATTGCAATGTAAGAAATACTCAAGCTAGAGGAAACTAGAAAGTGGATCAGCCTACTACAGCAGGTCGTGTTTTTGCTTTAACAGGTGCTGAAGCTGAAACGTCATCTGAGCTGGTAAAGGGAAAGGGCAAAGCTGATGGTAATGATATTTCTATTCTATTTGATTCTAGTGCTTCACATTCTTTAATTTCTTATGAATGTGTGGCAAGGTTAAATTTGGTTGTGAGTTCCTTGTGTGTGGATCTAGTCGTTTCTACCCCAGCTTCAGGGTCTATTTTGACTTTTGAAGTTTGTTTGAGATGTCCAGTGGAGGTGGAAGGTCGTTGTTATAAAGTGAATTTGTTTTGTTTACCTTTATCTGATTTGGATGTGATTTTAGGGATGGATTGGCTTTTTGCCAACAGGATTTTGATAGATTGTTCATAGAGGCGATTGATCTTTCCTACTGTTGAATAGGAAAGGTTTATTTCTAGTGGACAGGTGGATGGTTTGTTGAAGGGTGGAGCTCTTGGATTTATGATCCTATCTTTTTATCAGTTTAGAGAATGAAAAGTTGTTGAATAGTA